CCCCCCCCTTAGCCCTTTTGGGTGCAAAATCACGTTGTTGTGTTGAAGTGTTTTTCGTTTTGAAACTTGTTCACCAAATATGGCTGGCTTCGAGAACAGATTTTTTTTTTCCGAAAAAAGAGGGGATGTTCGAGTTTATCAAAATATTCATTTAGGTGTTTTAAAGCCATCTGAAATTGATCGACATTCTGGGGAACAACTTTGTTGAAATAGGAGTACATTGTATATATGCTTTGGCTCATTCTGTACTAACGACGGTCTTATCTATCTTTCTAGTGTGCGTCTTTTCCTTAAATTTGATCGATAATTGAACCTCAGTGACCCATGCTTTGTAAGGAAAAGCCGATGACGATAACACGTGTAGATTTATGAGGCAACGGATAGCCGCTAGTTGTGAGTAAATCCATCTGTTGATGTATTGTACACACGTGCCTAGCAGTAGAACTATGACCTTTCGGTCAGTGACTTCTATACTGTCTCTTTGTCCTACCCTTAAGTCTTAAGAGTTAATGCTGATCTCTTTCAATGTGACTGAGCGCACGTGGTACGTATTATGCTCGATGTAAGACTTTAAGCCAGTAACCGTACATGTTTTACGACCCCATAGAAACAAAACTGGCCGTTTTAACCCGCATTGCTGAGAATCTTCGTTTGTGTAGTCAAGATAGAATATTAATTCACGAGCTAATTAAACACAGCAGCCATGTTAGATTTTCCCCTTAATTAAAATGAGAAACTGCAAACACAATACATCTGCTATCAAATACCCTCTGTAGACCAGTAGAAGACATGGCAGTGGACAAGTTAAAGAGAGCACAAGTAAATACGTCCATATAAGATAGCAGTGAAGAGGTTAAGGAGACGAATTGTATCGACCCTGTCTGTCAGGGTGAACCCTGATTGAGTCGAATACATGGTCATTTTCAAATGCCAGAATCTTTTTTTAAATTCCGGTTCGTCAATGTCGACTGAGGTTAATCAACTGATGAGTTGCATGTGATTAGACATTTTAAAAATTTGAAAAAAATAGCTAAGTTAATCATTAATAAATGTAGGCCACACTGCTTTACAGCAAGTAGCTTATTGATATCAGGATTATAAATGATAGTACCTACAGCCGTCTGTTACCAAGAATGTCTCCGAAGAAAGTAAAAATATCTCAAATTGTTCTGAACAATGCTGCGCTGTTAGTTTTACAGAAAAGAAAGCGATACTTTCTAGACCTTTTTTTACGGAGACTGCACTGGCTTTCTGTTGACAAAAGAATCATGTACAAATTAGCCACTCTATGCCACACATTTGTTAATGCTTGAATGATAATGTGACATTATAATTTTCATATTATCTGTGCATTCCAGATATCAGTTTATGGTCATTAAAAGAATGAAATAACTTTTTACCGTCAATAAAACATAAAACAATGTTTTTGTTGTTATCAATCAAGCAACAGCTTGGCTCTTGCCCTTCTTTCAATGCCATGTACATGTAGTAGTTTGCTGCAGTGTCGTGTGATGTTCCATAGTGTCAGTGTTAGGTCTCGTTGAGGGAATTATAGCTCTGATGACATAATGTATGTCTATGCAGTGGAACAGTTGATGATACATTCTCATATGTGTTGTCATGCAAAGTACATGTACACGTTGCGGGAAGTTCTGGTTTTAGTCTGTTTAAATGGAAGTTGAATTGTGTGCTATGATCTGTTCGTAGGTGGAAGTTCGGTCCTTTTCTCTGCCGGTGGTTGTTATTGTCACTTCGTTTTGTTGTAGTCACATATTTTGAAAGCTACTCCCTCCTGTCTTTCCCAAGGTCCATCTATTGATCAAATTTTATTTGTCATTTCTTTAATGATTTACTTGCAGTGTTGTAAGGAGTTGGATTGTTGGGCTTTTCCTGTCTAGACCCCCCCCCCCCCCACACACACACACACACACGTTTGCTCTGTCATTACTAGGTGTGTTTGAGTGTCCTGGAATTCACTGCATCATCAGGTTGACCCCATAGGATGTTTCCATGTGATAGATGCCAAACAGTATACGTGTCAGATCTTGGTTTTGACGTTGATCATTTTCAACCGCTTTCTGGACTGATATTGAGTCAGTGAAAATCACAATACTTTGTGCTTTCCCCAAGATGAGTGTCAAACTGAGTGGAGATGGTACAGTTCTGTTTCGATTGCTATCATTTTTGCCTCATAGTCATAGTTGCTGCATTTCTCCCCACTTGCTACAAAAGATCTCTCTGGAACTTCCATTTGAGGTATTGTACAAGTACATACTCCACATCCGACTTTGGTTGTGCTTTGAAAAGTTGAGCCCTCTGTATAGACGTAGAGTCAGTCACTTGAATAGCTGTCGATTGTTTGATATGTTCATATGGTGCATGTGTCAGCATCACTGGGTCTGAACAGTTTGAGCTTCATCTCTAAGAGATTTTAAAAATGTTTTTTCTTTTCAAAGAAATGTGTGAAAGGATGTTTTAGTTAAATCCTGTGATTTCTTTTCTGTTTTTGTGGAAGATGGTGACTATCCATTAGTTCTGTGATATGATACATGGTTGAATTTTGTTCAAACTGTTTCTTTGGTTTGCGTGCAACTACTTATTTCATGTTTCTGGCATTGGTGAACATCATTGGTTCTTCCATGGAGCTCCAAAATTGCTTTATATCTGCGGATTACAAAGATTTCACATGCGCCGGTAGTTGTGGGTATCATGCCACCTTTTATGAAACGATGGACATTATTCTGAACCTTGCCAAGGGTGTTGCTGTTGGTTGTACTGCACAGATCGGACATAACCAAGGTACAGAACTCTCTTAAACAGCATATGAAAGGCATTTCATGGCCTCTAGATTTGGAAGGCACAGCCTGGTCATTTAAAAGAAATTCAATCGTTTGATGCATTTTAAAGTCAGGTGAAATCGTTTCTGTTTTTAGATTGTGTGTGTGTGTATATATATA